GAGTAGTGCTAATTCATGAAACCCGATTCGATCGTCGGCGGGGCTTGATAGCAAGGACATTCGAAAGGGTACCTGGATCTCTAAAATCCGAGCTACACACCTGCCAAAATGGAGTTTTACGGCTCTTATTCCGAGAGGCACATTAAAGATACATTATACTCGCAATTTTTAATAATTAGAAGTAAACTAACCAGTCCTTCATAATGAAAGGTATCGTTAAAAGAGGGAATCACAGCTGTAGTTAATAAGACAGATCACAAGGGGTGATATCAATTAGATGTAAAATAATCAGTACAGTGAGTCTCGTCCCTGTGAAATCGAAGGGCCAATTGTACATAATTCAGGCTTTTATAAGTGAAATATCCGAAATTGCTTCCCAAGGTGGGAACATTTATCAGGCTATTCTTTGAAATTTGCCTCAAAGCACGCGATGAATGATTACATTGATTTCTTCAACGGCCAACAACGAACCAACCAATTAACGCAAATGATTTCCTACAGTTGGTCGGCGAACAAAGTTGATCCTTTAATTTTATCACTTTCAATACCGCGACTAGACAAAAGTTCATCAACTAAACGGAAATGGTATCGAATTATTTATAAACGCAATAGCTGATTCACAGCTGTCCAAGTTGCAAAAGCCTTATTGATATCAAAAATAATTGAAGGGTATTACACAAATAAAAAGAGCAATGGAAGCATAAGATTACTTTATAGTAACACAAATCAACATCAAGATTTGTCGGATGATTTTTCTCAAACTTTGGCGCTCACAGTTGACATAATGTCTTGTTATATTGCATTCACTTCGCGAGCAAAGCAAAAGTTACGTTAGATATCGTAAAAATCCCGATGCAACCTATGAACAACATTCGATTTTTCGTTTCAATTAACGATTTTCTCGTATTCCCTTGGATCATTTATTTTGTTTTGATTGTAATCCGGCTAAGGAAATAGATTCGATGCACTCAGCCATTTTTCGGGTTGCTATGCTCACTGTTTTTGTGTGTTCCGTCGAGGCTCAGAAATAGTCACGAAATGAGTTCGTCGATCAGCTAGGTTTCACATGCTCGTGCTGGTTGTGAGGCGCAAGAACGGATGAGGGGGTGGGATGATCGTGGACCACGCTGTTTGACGAAGTGGAAGCGATTAGCCGTGCAAGTCGACTGTGGCCCATCCTCATGAAAAAACACACTTGAGATGGGATTGGGAGTAAGTTGATCACTGAAAAGAGCTAATGGGATGGTTTGTTTGTGGATGAACGATTGGAGGATTAGAAATAACTCAGCTCTTCTTGGATCTTTTACTCTAACCTTGTTCGTTTGTTCCGTTTAAACGAATCATCCTTACGGTTTGCACGTGGTCTCCTGCACCGAGACAGTTGAATTCGTTAAATTTGGTCTTCTAATAAACAGAGAGAGAGAGAGTGATAAGGACGATCCTTAGCAGTTATTTAATACTATTCGAATAAGTGATGTAAAGTCTTAAGCTTACTGACAAAAACAGACATTCTGGTGTCTTATAACCCAGTTTCATACATCAGAGAAGGTCTCTCCAATCAGGAACACGGTTTCAGCTCGGAAAGCTTGTGCAATAATTACTTAATATTGATTATTTATGGTATCGCACTTTTAAATATTTAAGTAGAGAAAAGCAGTATTGAACAGTATAAAATTCCTCGGGTTCCCCCAGTAAATGCAAAGTGATTTAATGAAAAAGGTCCAAAATCCTTGATAAAATATGGTAGTATATTACTCAAAATATGGGTCGGTCTTATCACTGGGAATGAACTACCGAAAATGCTGTTATTCGGTGATCACAGTTGGTTGCGGTAATCATCACTACAACCCACCATCAACACCACGGAAGCGTATTGTTCTTTATCGTTCGTATCAGGCTGAATTAAATTTCAGAGTATAAAATGAATGATTGATTGAATATTTCAAAAGCCGGTTGTAATTACTTGACTAGGACCTTCGCAACTGATCGAAACGTTATCACGAGTATTCCGTACTTTTATCATATAACAGTCGTAAACTTGTGAATTGTAGAGTGAAATCATGAATTCAAACACTTACGCAGCAACTGCCATCGTATCATGCCTAAGGGTGCCTCATAAAGGGAGCAATAATAGTGTGGTATTGACATGTGGTGTCTGTCTGACTTCGTTTTCAACACAAAGCCAAATGATGGGCAGTGTTTTCAACAGAGGTTATTCAACTACTTATGAGTAGCGTAATCAAAATGTGTTTCAGTGGCTACACTTTCCGTACGTTTTAGTGCAAACCACTTAGACATTTGACAGATGGATTTCAGGGGAGAAATTAGCAGTCGGAATTCTCATTGAATGAATTCTGTGGAGCCACTATTGGCTGGTTATTCGATAGGGAACAATAAAAGTGGGCAAATGGATCTAATTTTTGGAGCTAACTAACCAGTGGTCGAGTGAAATCATGTCGATTAGTAACAAACTGTTGAATACTTTAATTACTTTCCCTTTTTCCTTGTAAATCCTTCTTTGTTACCAGTTATATTTATTGTGTTGCAAGGGCATGATTAAGACACACTGAAAACGAGCTTGTTTACCAATTTTTGCCTTCATTATGAGCTTCATGGGACTGTTTAAATATTTGAAATCATGTCCTAGGAGAATAGCCGGCTGATGTACATTTGGCCACAATCACCAACAGTCAGATAAGTCTTGAATAAACTCACACTAAAAAGATGTCAGTTTAGACTTTTGATTGCTATAGTATCGTCTGAGACAAACCAGTTGGTAAAAATGAAAAATATGCCGTTTTCGGAAAGAAACCATGTTTGAGATCATGTATTTTGGGGTTAGCTTTTGTTGTGAAGCAAAAAATGTTTTTTATTAACCTAACGGTGCAGATCAATTTGGTTTACCACGCGCATTCGCATTGAAACTGGGAAAAAAAAATCATAATTGTCTCTTAAAAAGCGTAACGGACAGCTATTCCGTAGTGGTTGGGACACACAAACAGTGCGCACTATTGTTGAAGGGATTGTAGACGTAGTTGTTTGAAGTCAAAATTCTTTACCCATTAACTACAAGGCCGACGGTCATTGCCTGGAGACCACAACAACGGATGGAATTCAAAGTATATTAGGTGATAACTCACTCTATTTCTGAGCGTTTACATTTACCATGGTATCAACAATTTTTGAATAACGTTGACAATATGATAAGAAACATTTATCCGGAGAAAATTGCACTCACATAAAAATGAGCATTTGAAAATAGTAATTTGCAGTAGACTCTGTAGCAATACAATTTGCGAGCACGTATTCATTTTCGGCTTAATTTATCCCAGGTAAGGTTAATATGTCCTAAAAAATTTTATTGAATGGCTTAATAATCTGGAGTACATATCTACTTTCATTTCAGGTGAATTATAGGGCACCTGCACAACGTTTGTTGTACATCGACCGGTTTTTCACGATCAGAGGAAACACAATGTTTGAGGTTCCTTTGGTGAAATCTTTTAGAATGAAGTGAAACCGAGGACAATTTATGAAAGACTGACGAAGATTGTGGACAGATCAGTCGATGAAACTGCAATCGTGTCAGATTCATCCAGACTCAAGGGTATCGCTGGTGTGATTACCTGCGTCCTCTTTTGGATCTTAATAACTTTTCCAGATAGGAAATAGGTATAAATGAGCCAGTCTAAATGTTCCTGTATTAACTCATTGAAAATCCAAAAAACAGAGTCTGAGTTTTGACATTCTGACGAGAATCTCACTACTTTGGTGTTAATTTGTTTCCTTTATTTCTGAAATTTTCGCTGTTGAAAAAGATTTTACATGCGTTTCAATGTTAACCATGTTAGTCATTGATAGAAGGAGGTAAAGACGTCTACTCTCACTCCGAATCCTTGCATTTTGAGTTCCAAAGGGGACACAAAAATGAGGCACACCAATTGTGGGTCTCAAAAGGGCCGGTGCTCTGTGTGAGAAATTATACAGTATTAAGAAAGTCAATCTGTTTGTGTGGAGTTATTGGTGTGTTTGGTGACCCTAATACTTCCAATAATTCGAATTTTATGTTATGTAGAGCCTGAAAGAGTAATTTCTGGAAAAAATATGTAAGTGAAAGACAAAGATACTCTACCAAGTTGGATATTGTTTGCTTCCGGTATTAGATAGGGTCGTGGTTCTAGTACAAGAGAACTGCACACCTTCCGTATATCACCTATAAAACCGCATGATGGTCAGCAAACCTGTTAAGGATTCTAAAAGTCAAGTAGTGGATTGCAAATAGGAAGCTATTGGTCAAATTCATTAATAATATGGCAGAAAACATTCTCATCACTAAACTTTTATAGCAAAAGCCATAATATATGCGCATCTAAGGAGCGTTATTCAGGAAAAATGGATTGGGAAGATGTTATTGATCCTTGGGGATAAGAATATCCTTTGAGGAAACCACCTGGATGTGTAAACTTTATTTTCTCCTATAAAGTGGATTCAATCGTGTGAATCTTGGCAACATTTTGAATTTTAAAGCAGCAGGATTGAGTTTGAGAACAAATAAAATAACTGATTCATTCACACATACATTCATATATCATTCAGTAAAACTTTTATGACAAAAGCCGCAGATACTAATGAAACATAAAGAAATATGCGATTTTCCTCTCTAACTGCCTGACCGTTATCGGAAAGTTTACACGCGGTGAGATAAATATCAAGGCACTATTGCTCACACACAGTGGACACGTGACAATTTTAGAATCGAAGTTTATCGATTACTCCCAAAGACCCGGGATTTTAAACTCATGTTTTGGCGTGATTTCACTTGTCTGTAATTAACATGAACAATATACATTCTTAATGGATCGAGGCAATTTTCACTGGGTTGAGTCGATGGCACAGTCATCATGAAATGGCCGGTTAAAGGATTGGAGGCTAGAATTAAAGCGTCGTTCAGGCGGCTATTCAGAACGCGTTATTCTCACCGCCCCCGTCGAAAGTCCGAGATGAGAGCTGTTCATTTGCGTTCACTGCACTGCAGTTCACAAGACAGCCATTGCTTACAGTGCAACAGCTATGACACAGATAGTCGTTGGGGTGACAGTCAAAGTAGCACCCAATCCAGTCAAGTTGCGGAAACAAGTGCCAAGCAATCTCTGAACGATATCACATGCCCATGTGAATTTGTAGATGTAGAGCCAAGGAAAAATATCGGGGTTGAAAAAATTCAAACTGATGGGAATAAAAAACATGGTGATCCTCCACGTTCAGATGTAAGTGTCAACACAGAAGTTATTCATGAAAGTCGTCTCCAAGATGCTTCTAGTCAAGCGGAATTCGAAGATTCCAAGACATTGATGCATATGTCCAAATCCAATCAAACATCAACTCCTCGAATAAAACCAAACATGGTCAGTGTGGCTACCGAACCAGTTACATTTGATTACAGTGGATTGTGCTGCCGTGCAAAGGAGTCCTTCTCACGTTCATTAGAACGGAAGTCTTTATCTTATCAAGATGGAAACTCTGGACATGGTAACCATTCTGTCATTTTAGGTCATTACAGTAGTGATCCGTTTTTGTTTGATAACTCAAAGTTGCATGCACATCAGTGTGGGTCTTCCAAAAATTCGACCGGCGGATTTTTTCATGCGGGGGATTCTTGTAAGTCATGCTCAAGACAGATAGCCTCCAACTCAATGTTTCACAATCCTGCATCCTGTAAGTGGATGAATCACTCACCATGGCTATTTAGTCAACCCTTTCCAATCAAAGCACATGAGACTAACGCAACTAGTTCTGTAAGCGGTTGTCGTATTGAGAACCCCAGATCTTTGTTTGAGTCACCTCATACATCCATCCCTCGACCAAACTGGTATTCATCAGCCCATTTTCTGGACAAGTATTATCCGGACCCAGATCACGAAGAATGTTCGCGTAGCGCATGGCTTCATAACTACAACTTGGTCAACGCTAACCCAGTTTCAGCGGTAGGAATGGAAACAACAACTAATTTGGCGGCTCAGCGTAAAGAGACCAAAGAGTGTGGCGATGAATATTTACCTCCTATTGACATATTGGTATCTAATACAGGTGCTTCTAACGTTAATCAAATGCAAAATGTAAATTCCCCTATCGTGAGTGCCACCAATGGCATTACAGTGAACAATGCCACCATGACTGTCCATACGATTAATCTCTCTGATAAGATGAAGTCGGCAACAAAGTTAGGACAGTTGTCCACTAGTTTGAATGGCCCACCAATGTGTAGCGTGTCCGTGGGTAACGATACACCCTCAGTGGAACGTGGTCGTTTGTCTTCCGGTTCACGTGTTGCGAAACGAGGCGTTT